AAAAAAGTGCATAATGTTTAAAATAATGTTTATAAACCAATTATAATTAAGTTGCTTAAACAACTATAAACAAAACAGCATCGTGTATGCATTCATAGTTTAATACAAAAGGCCGAAAGCCAATCACACAGAGTACATTTTTCGTTTAAAAAGCAGTGGGATGGGGAAAAAACCCCACCATTAAGTCTCGAGATATGTTTTTTCAAAGTTGAACTTGCATTAATTTTACATGGCTTTCATCGCATCTCGTGCGCCACTGATAAGGCAGCCTCCTAAAATTCGAATGCAACGTTTTTGCATTCGAATGTGGATTTTTATTTTAAATTCGACGAATATTCGAAATTCGAATTTTTTTTGACAGCCCTAGTTCACAGACATAACTCCATTTCCCAAAGTTCCTAGTAGTGATGTCCCGTTCGCAAAGAAATTGTTCTTTTGAACTGGTTCTTTTTAGTTAACTGGATGAACCAGTTACATTTAAATCAATCAAAATTCACTTTCGGACGTGCCTGACAGTCACTCCGACTTGTAATGTTCTTATATTTCTTAATATCGTTATTGATAATATTAATTCCTAAATAATAGTAATGCAGTTTCATTTTAAATGTTTATTTTTCATTATTATCTATTTATTTGATTTGATTTGAATATAACCATTATTTAGTTAAATTTTATATTTATTTAAAATTTTATATTTTATATTAATATATTATTTTAATATATGATATGCCTGCCAAATGTGGTGTAAAAACATCAAATTTAATTAGATCATGTTATCAAATTGCATGACCTCAAGAAAACATGATATGGCTCTCTAAAAATACTTGATTTTGAAAAATATGTTGAAAAATAAATACGCTCACATGTGTAATGCAGTTTCATTTTAAATGTTTATTTTTCATTATTATCTATTTATTTGATTTGATTTGAATATAACCATTATTTAGTTAAATTTTATATTTATTTAAAATTTTATATTTTATATTAATATATTATTTTAATATATGATATGCCTGCCAAATGTGGTGTAAAAACATCAAATTTAATTAGATCATGTTATCAAATTGCATGACCTCAAGAAAACATGATATGGCTCTCTAAAAATACTTGATTTTGAAAAATATGTTGAAAAATAAATACACTCACATGTCTTCAAAATGTAGGGAAAATATGTAATTACTTTCACTTAAAGCAAAAAAAATTGGAAATGTTATGAAACTACCCCACCCCCCAAAAAATGCTTACATTATGAGACTTTCCTACATATTTTCCCTTTTTATCATCTTACACATTTTTGTTACTGATACAAATACAAACAAAGACGCTAATGAACCTCAACCAATCATCATCTTACCAAAGCAATATACACTACTGTTCAAAAAATGTGGGTTCCAGTAAGTGATTTTTTTTTCTTTTTCTTTTTCTTTTTTAAATTAAGACTTAAGTTGATTAAGTGAAGTAAAGACATTTATAATGCATTTCAAAAAATTTCTATTTGAAATAAATCTATTCTTTTGACATTTCTGGTTGTAATTTCCACAAAACTATTAAGCCGTGCAACACTTTTCAACTTTGATATTATTAAGAAAAGTTTCTTGAGCACCAAATCATAATATTAGAATGATGTCTGAAGAATAATGTGACGCTAAAAATCTTTTTGAACTTTTGAACAGTAGCGTATGTGCGCAAATGATTGAATTATTAAATGTTTTGTGTATATAAACTCTATCTGGCATGGGAGAGGTGCCTTGCAGTTAGACAGATAACAGATACACACCAGGGAATGCATTGATGTCAATGACTGCGTGTTGGCCCGTCTGGTTGTTAATGATGACGTCGATGCCGAAGAGCGAAACGCCGAGAGATTCCCGAAGAGATTTACACAGTTCCCTAATGACACCATCATTCGGAGGCTGCGAAACACCTTCTACATTATCCCTCTGTCAAAAATGCAAATGAAAGAGAGGTGAAGGAAGAGCTTCTGAAAATGTTTACAATTATTACTGAATGGCTATGTAATACCCATTGCTTAAATTCCCACCAGGATTCGTTGTATACATCTTTAGTGAACACAATACTTTATGTAGACTAAAGAGAACTGAACTTACAGATGTGAGGTCAGAGGACGACTCTGGCTTGGACACATTGTGGCTATTGAAGAAAATAGCTTTTCTGTCTGTAAGGCATAAAAAAACAAACACATTAATGTGAAAAACACTGAGTTGCAAGTCAGTTGAATAAAAGTGAAAGTGTAAGAGTGCAAGTGCGCAGGAAGCCACTAGACAGCAGCAGAGAGTTGTGGTTCAGCTGAGAGAGTCAAAGCTTCAGGAGTGCCAGGCAGAGAGGGAGAATAAATAGAGTGAGGAGGAGGACAAAACACAAAAATCTACTGCCAAGAGGATGCTGAGATTTATGACCTCCCACTCAAATGGCAGTAAAGAAATGCATTAAGGGAGATGGCAACCCACCACTTAGCCTTCCTTCCTTCTGCAGACATCAAAACACCCCAAATATTCACGATGTACATCCATTCATTCTTAAACCTAAGAAAATTTCTCTTCATCTGTATAGCTTCTAAATATGACCAAGTTGTTCCACTGAATAGGGCAATGGTCTTTCAGAAAGAGAACAATCTATTTGAAGGTGAAACATTAAAAGGCATTCAAATGCAACATACATATAGTTGTTTTAGAAAGCATATATGCTTTAAAACACAGTTGCATCAAAACTTGGGTATAAATTACAAATCTTATTATTAATATTCATAGCTTATTTAATTTTAAATAAATAATGTATTGAAAAGATGCATTGCATTGCTTAATAATGCCGGTGTAGAAACATTATTTCAGTCTGAAAAACTAATGTTTCTCTATTAATGGCCCATTTAAATTTGTGCGTATTCAGACTAAACAAAAAATAAGTAAATAAATAAAATTCACTTTTTTACATTTTATTCATTTTAATACATTTATTTGATTAATTAATTGTAATATTAAATAAAAAATTAAATAACGCCATAGATAAATATAAATATATGTGTGTGTGTGTATAAATATTTATATAGTATTTTTCTATCTATCTATCTATCTATTTATATATATAT